TCGCCTACTCCACCACAGACAGTATCATATCGTTTTCAGTTGCCTATGCCATATGGATTAGAAGATATACCGTGATGGTTCCCAGTTAGGGTTGTAACGATGCATCGAACTATCGATGGATTGCAATTGTTGAGTCTCCAATAGCACTTAATCGATGGTAGAAACGAAAAACTATCGATGCATCGATAGTATGTGTGACTATCGACAGTTTAGTAAGTGACTTCCGTTGATAAATGTGCAGCACAAATACATAATGTTTGGGTGCAGACTTGCAGCTTCATTGAGTTTATGGTTTACTTGAAGTTTCTTGTCAGTTATTAAAAGAGACTGAAGCTACTTCAACTTGTTTTTATGTCATATAAACTTTACATTCATTTGAGAAATGACTTCAAATGCGACAATTCAAGGAGAAAAAACACTGTTGCAATAGTATTGCAATAGTTAGTCGCAATAGACTATCGCTATCGCAATAGTTGTTTCACCCTCAATAGTCACCCCTATTCCCAATATCCCTACTTGTTAGACATCGTACATGTCTTACTCTTTATTGCCATACGAACTGCATATATTATGTTTGCTCAGTCTGCCAGTCTGTGGTGGACCAGACGTTACTGTGGTGGACCAAACGTTACTGTGGTGGACCAGACGTCACTGTCGTCACTGTGGTGGACCAGACGTTACTGTCGTCGACCAGACGTCACTGTGGTGGACCAGACGTTACTGTGGTGGACCAGACGTCACTGTGGTGGACCAGACGTCACTGTGGTGGACCAGACGTCACTGTGGTGGACCAGACGTTACTGTGGTGGACCAGACGTCACTGTGGTGGACCAGACGTCACTGTGGTGGACCGGACGTTACTGTGGTGGACCAGACGTCACTGTGGATGACCAGACGTCACTGTGGTGGACCAGACGTTACTGTGGTGGACCAGACGTCACTGTCGTGGACCAGACGTCACTGTGGTGGACCAGACGTCACTGTGGTGGACCAGACGTCACTGTGGTGGACCAGACGTCACTGTGGTGGACCAGACGTTACTGTGGTGGACCAGACGTTACTGTGGTGGACCAGACGTCACTGTGGTGGACCAGACGTTACTGTGGTGGACCAGACGTCACTGTCGTGGACCAGACGTCACTGTGGTGGACCAGACGTCACTGTGGTGGACCAGACGTCACTGTGGATGACCAGACGTCACTGTGGTGGACCAGACGTTACTGTGGTGGACCAGACGTCACTGTCGTGGACCAGACGTCACTGTGGTGGACCAGACGTCACTGTGGTGGACCAGACGTCACTGTGGTGGACCAGACGTTACTGTGGTGGACCAGACGTTACTGTGGTGGACCAAACGTTACTGTGCTGTACAGATCAATGACTATGACCATGCGTTTGATTCCCAGTTCTGTTGAATGTTTCTAGATTTGTCAGCATACAACACGTGGTCGAATGTTTCATAAATGTATTGTATTCTGTTCACGGCAACTCACTATAAACGCAACTCACTTTAGGAATAAGTCTATGCCTGTATTTTCCCACCTAAGTTTCTAAACTTAGTTTATATATATGAACATATCAATACGTTTTACATGATCGGTATGGCTTTTTAATGGAATATGCCTTCTTTAAATAGCGTTTGTTGAAATTTAATAAGGTCTTGCTTCCACGTTTAATCGAGTTCATATTTCAAGCAGGGCATTTGATCTCAAGACAATGCTTGACATCTAGAAGTAATACTTACAAGAGAGAATTTACTGATGTCAGCCTCTTTCTTACGTGGACCAGTTTGTAGAAAAGAAAATGCCATCTATGAATTGCTCCCTGACGTTGCACGTGTTTTTGTTCACAAATAACACAACTGGGGCTTAGTCTATATTTCACGTGCACTTCTTCAGTTATGATACCTCCCAGCATGTGGCGGCTAATTCTGGCCACCGACATGTCGCTTCAGGATACACAAAGTGATTTCATACCTGCATTGATCCAGATTCCAATCATGTTTGTCTGAGTTCCAGGTGTTCTCAAGATTGGGTGTGTTTAAACAGTGATTCTGCAGAAGCATCCGTTTTACTGACAAAAGGAGGCCAGTTTGTACCATACTGTGACCGAGGGTAACATGTGGTCGAATGAGGGGGTGTTAAAATGTCTAGTAAATGTGCCGGTTGATTTATGACTTAAAGTTTCGTTGGTCTCTTATGCCTATTTTCAGCATTGAATATCAGTTTCTCAACGGGATGGTCAATATCTCTGCCGATGTCACGCAAGTGACTGTGTATTGCCGATCTCACATTTTTTGTACTCGGCAGGTGGGCTGGCATTGAGGGGTGTTCTGTGGTTGGGCTTCAGTATAAAATTGCCTTAATTTCATGTATAAGTTTTCAGGTTTTATTTCGTTCATGTTGTTGCAGCTTCTGGTAACTTCAGCCGCCCCAGTCTGGAATTAATACAAACATTATCTCCCTTGGACCGTAGACAGTTTCGTTGAATTTATACTCAGCAGCAAAAAAACCGTCAGTACGAATTCAAAATTAGATAGGCACTGTAATCAAATCATTACAGAAATGGACATAATAAGTGGATCAAAAACATTTTAGGGGTTCAATATCTTGACACATCAATGAATAACTCAAAACATTACGTCAACTTTGCAGTCCATTCAGACTCTTGACTTCAGTATCTAGTGTGACCACCACGAGCGGCAATAGCTGCAGCACGGCGTCTACGCATGGAGTGCACCAATCGATTGATGAACCCATTAAAACCTGTGAGTCGTCATATTTTGATACGTCTCACTGCATTGTAAGTAACCATATACTGCATTGTGTACAGGACACATTCAGGTGTGTCACATCTGATATAGACTTCACAAAACAACAGAGTTTCAGCTCATAATAACACAACTGTACAGATTGTTGGCATACGATATTTGAATTTGAATTAAACTTAATCAAACGACTATGTTTTTGTCACTCTTCGTTCAATCTACAGAACCATACTGTATCATCCATTGAATACACAAAACGTCAATCCCAGGAAATAATTGTTTTTGCAGAAACACTTTCCATTGGGGATGAAGAGGAAAACATAGTTCAACAGCATAGAATACATCACTAAAATATGGGTGTATATATAAGTATGTCCTGCTCTACCGGCAACATCCGCTACTCCGAAAAAATATATATACAACCAGCTCCGTGGTACAACAGTAAAATATAACACGCCGCTGCACACGCTCACCCATCGCTCCACACACCGGAGCTCCCCAACACACACACACACCGACAACCCCCAACCCCAACCCCAACACACACACACACACACACACACACACACACACACACACACACACACACACACACACACACACACACACACACACACACACACACACACACACACACACACACACACACACACACACACACACACACACACACACACCACCGAGTTGAAAACATTTATTATAATGCACATATATTGATGTTCTGTACTCAATCAATCATATCTTAAAACATAATATAGTTTTAACCAGTCTGGGACATCTAGGTTGAACCTTCCTTTCAAAATGTAAATCATGTACCAAATCGGGGCCTTGTATTTACAAATTGTAGGAAATGAGCAACATTGTACCACTAGATAAATGTGTAAATGATGGCTATTGGCATACAGTGAGACTGTTACCTGTGTATACGTCAGTGTGCGTGAAGATGGAGGGGAAGGGGAGGGAGGTGGGTCTATTTCAGCAGAAAAAAAGACGGCCATTTTGTTTGTTAATGATGCACCTAGATGACCTAATTAACACCTGCATGATCTAATTATGCAGAGGTAAGAAATCGCCTAGAAGCATGACCTCGCTATCTAGAATTTTCTGGGTTTCATCTTTTTATTTATTGTTTGGTACAACATTTCAGGGCTTGTTCTGGCCACATCATCAGGTAGAACTAAAGAACAGGAACTGTTAACTCTGCCCGTGACGTTACATGTTATCATGAATATATAAAATATTGTTTACTGCAAAATTATTGGATTAGCTTATAAATGTACAGCTACTCATCATAATGAATTGTTGTTTAATTTAGAAATGTACAGATACTTATTAATAAATGTATTAAATGTATAGAATGTAAAGAAATTGCAGTGTATACATTAGAAATTATGGTTTATACATGGGAACAGTGGGATATTGTCCATTGTTTTATGTACCATGCATTCGGGAGGTACATTCCCAGTCAATTTCATGATTGGGATTATTCATAATGTGTTGAGAAACTGCAGATTTCAGATCCGATTTGTGAAGTTTTGTGTTCTTTCACACGTGTAGCAACTGGTCAGCCTGTCTCACCAATGTAGATGTGACCACTACTCACCACCACCACCACCACCACCACAAACCAGCACCACCAGCACCCACCACCACAACCCACAACCACCCACCACCACCACCCACCACCGACACCACCACCCACCACCACCACCACCCACCACCACCACCCACCACCGACACCACCACCACAACAACATCAACCCACCACCACAAACCAGCACCACCCACCACCCACCACCACAACCCACCACCACCACCCACCACCACAACCCACCACCACCACCACCACCCACCACCACCACAACCCACCACCACCACCACCACCACCCACCACCACCACCACCACCACCCACCACCACCACCACCACCACCACCACCCACCACCACCACAACCACCACCACCACCCACCACCACCACCCACCACCACCAGCACCACAAACCAGCACCACCCACCACCCACCACCACAACCCACCACCACCACCCACCACCGACACCACCACCACAACATCAACCCACCACCACCAACAACAACAACCACCACAACCCACCACCACCACCCACCACCACCATCATCACCACCACCACCACCACCACAACCCACAACCACCAACCACCACCACAACCCACTACCACTCGCATCAGTTCGATGTTGTATCACCAGTTCCATAACATTCGCATCCACATTGCCTCTCTCGCAGAGACAGTGAAATGCTGTTTTTCCAAATCAATGACCTCCGCGTTGTTTCATCAGGTGTATGACATTCGCATCAACATCGCCTCTCTCACACAGATAGCGAAATGCTGTCTTTCCATCATCACCAGACTTTTTAACATTAGCACCATGCTCTGTATCATCAGTTCTACAACACTTGCATCAACATCGCCTCTCTCACACAGATAGCGAAATGCTGTCTTTCCACGCCAATCGGTCTTGTTAACATCAGCACCATGTTGTATCATCAGTTCTACAACACTTGCATTAGCATTGCCTCTCTCACAGAGACAGTGAAATGCTGTCTTTCCATCATCACCAGACTTTTTAACATTAGCACCATGCTGTATCATCAGTTCTACAACACTTGCATCAACATCGCCTCTCTCACACAGATAGCGAAATGCTGTCTTTCCACGCCAATCGGTCTTGTTAACATCAGCACCATGTTGTATCATCAGTTCTACAACACTTGCATTAGCATTGCCTCTCTCACACAGACAGTGACATGCTGTCTTTCCATCATCACCAGACTTGTTAACATTAGCACCATGCTGTATCATCAGTTCTACAACACTTGCATCAACATCGCCTCTCTCACACAGATAGCGAAATGCTGTCTTTCCACGCCAATCGGTCTTGTTAACATCAGCACCATGTTGTATCATCTGTTCTACAACCCTTGCATCAACATCGCCTCTCTCACAGAGACAGTGAAATGCTGTCTTTCCATCATCACCAGTCTTGTTAACATGAGCTCCATGCTCCAAAAGGACGCGGGCGGCTGTAGCGTTTCCACATTGTAGGACTTTGGACAACATAGTACTTCCTCTTTTATTCTGCTTATCGATTGACAATCTTCCGGTTTGCTGCAAAACATCAGTCTAAGCATTAACTGTTGCCGATGTTATAGTTACACGTGACATCATGCAGAACAAAATGCAGACAAAAAGGACATTTTTATGCTGCACTTTATACCCTATGTGTCACTTGTTTGTCCGACCGCCAACTTATAAATATATTAGCAAAGATATAAAGAGTATTTGAGACGAAAATCAGACTGATATTAAGTGAGCTTGAACACGACAATATTTAAGTTTTTATCATGACGTGCCAACATGATGTGGAATGAGAATACAGAAGTGACGCAAATCTTGGACGGTAGATGCTATGGTTGGTTGGTTGGCTGGTTAATGCCACACTCAGCGATATTCCAGCTATATGGCAGCGGTCTGTAAATAATCGAGTCTAGACGACACAGTCCATGGCCAGTGATCAGCATCATGAGCATCGACCTTATCAACTGGGAAACGATGACATGTGTCAACTAAGTCAGCGAGCCTGACCAGCCAATCCCGTTAGTCGCCTCTTACAACAAGCATGGACTACTGAAGATAAATTCTAACCCTGATCTACACGGGTCGACAAACCAAGGAGTGAGTGAGTGAGTTAAGATTTATAGTCACATCGGCAATATTTCAGCCATATCGTGACTAAAACTAGTTCTAAATACAAAATGCATACATATAATGTATAAAACCCTGTCAACGAAGGACAGTAAAAATACTAGATTATCACAAAGTGAGGTAAAACTAGCTAGAATATATCTTTAAAAGTAGAATATTAATTTTCAACAATACAATGTAAAAATGGGATATATGGCCTCCAAAGCAGGATCGAAATCGTTGCTGATACGAACCATCTCCTCTTCTTCCTCCCCCTCGACAACATCAGTTCCTGAATCGCTCCTCGAGTCATCGCTGTCTTGGCGAGAGGGTGAGCTCATTTTGTAATATGTACCATTACCCTTTTCTGGAATTCAATGATACAAAGCATAAGTAAAACCCAATAGGTATGTTGGAATGTCTCAGACAGCAGTCAGGAGAATACATATGTTTACAAGGATCGAGTGTCTGTATTTAGTTAAAAGAAATCAAAATGACCCACTGACAAACTTGAAGCATGGATCAATAAGAGTGTTTATATGGTACTGTAATATATTGTGAAAGAGTGGTGTAATTGTATTACATTGTTTCTGTTTAGGTTAAGATGGTTCAACAACAATCAGTTGTCAGCAAGGTTGTACTTCCTAATGTAAGACGTGGTGTAGAAGTCACTATATTTAGATTCTTTTGGGGTCAAGTGTAATCCTGAATATTCTAGAACAGCATGGACTAGTCCTCAACGTATGGAAATTTCTGAAAAAGGTATACAGACTATCTAAGCGGGCATGTGCATGTCTATATCATCTCACATTAACTTCTTTGAGTGGGTGCCAGCGGCTGAAGGGATGGTGTAAATCCAACTAGGGTCCGTGTAGTTAGCAAAAGCACTATAAGTTGTTGGCGACCTATAGCCTGTTTTTATATTGTAATGTCTTCGTAAATATAATAGTTTTATATTTCCATGCTTTTTAAGACACCACCCATGATACGCTAGTTATTGTACAGTCCTTCAATGACTGATTATATAACAACATATATTTATGGCGTATGCAAAGTCTTTCTCGTCACTATATGGCTGAAATATTGACGAGGTGACGTTTGAGTGACATTTGTAGAAGTTAGATTAAAATCTTTTTTGTTCAGGTGATGCGACGTTTCAATACAGATCCTTGTTTGAAACTTGCTTGACAACGATACAAAAATCTATATCGAAACGTCGCATAACCTGAATAAAGAAGTCGTTCATGCATAAAGTTTGTCCTAAGCGTCGCTCATTACACCAAGATCAGCGGTTGTGACCATTATTTTCATGCTCGGCATGCAACTGCCTAACCCGCTCAGCTACCGCGTCTTCCACAGAGCTAGTGGAAGCCGCGATGGCTGAGCCGGGGTTAGGCAGCTGGCTTTTGTGTGCTGGCGATTAGGTGCCTGACTCTGAGGATGAGTGTTCGAATCCCAGATATAGAACTAAACATGATTTTATGGGGAAAACGTACAAGCATACCCAAGAAGCAAAGATTATTGTGACACTGACTTTTTCACTGGCTATTTTTGTGAACTGTTATGTAAACGAGTATCAACATTACACACAGAAATAACCTATTCAATATGGGCAGCATAGTGACCATCTTATAGCCAGAATTCGAATCTCCATCGTCAATAAAAACAACAACAAAAACAAAAAAGATAAAATAGACAAAAACAAACAAACAAACAAACCGAATGTGTGTTCAACTTTTTGAATAACGAAGAGGAACATTTCTTTTTATAGATAGACAACTTCTTTCTTGCAAAAGATGCAATGTTTTGGTGTGGATGCTACCCAGCAACATGTTATCAAGCAAGTGATAACTGGGCACCATGTTGTAGCAAAGATTACAACCTTCAGTACCATTAAAAACAACAAGAAAAAACAAACGAGATAAAAAAAAGGGGGAAAACCCATACAAACCGGAACATATATTGAATTCTTCTAATAACCACTCAAATGTCAATTTCATACACAAAAGGTTCAACCTGAATAAGTGAGTTATAGACAGAAATAACTTTTTCAATATAACCTGTACGGGTTCCGCGTTGTAGCCCGGATTCGAACCTTCAAAACACATTCAGGTTTCATCATATGTGGGGACAAGCATGTTTCGGCTTGACTGGCCGTTCAAGTGGTTTCAGTGAAAACATATTGTCAGTATGATGAAGAAGTGTAATGAGCATGGAGGGCACTGAAGTGGGGTAAAAGTTCGTAATGTTTAAGCCTAAACTATTTCAGTCAACCGGACAGTAAGTTTCGTGCATAACAAATTACACTGACGTTTTAACAGACATTGCAGAGCAGTAAACTTGGGTTTCAGCGTTCAGGTCAAACTTTAAGTTATATACCACAGAAACGGAAGGTATGTGTTTATCCTCACTACTACCTACAACCGTACAACATTCTATTTAGTTCAAACGTACGAATAGTGAGAATTTGATGGTTCTTGATAGGTAAGCAAGGGTTTATCGGCATATTGCTGTTGTGCACTATTCAAGAAAGGAGAGAATTGCTTAAGGATACCTTTGAGACATCAGGAGAGACATAGCTATTTTCTGAAATGCTCCCGAAATTATGTGATGTCTTACAAACTAACTAACTAATGTTCCCAATAGGATCATGTCTGATAACAGAGCCCACCGACCCCGTTCCTCTCTTAATCGTTAATATATGTCAATCAATTCGGGAGGTCGGGGTTTGATTAATGTGGAGGCTCTTCATGACAGATTTTTATTGCGTACTTTTGCACATATACTGAGTCAAAAAAGAAACTTCACAAAATGTAATTTGAAAAATAATGAATAATTATTCTCTGATGATACACACTTTTAAACCACAGTTCTAACGGTACTTGAAATGCCACGATTGTCAAATGTGCAACGTGAACGTGCCGTTGGCATGTTGCAAGCTGGAAGATCAGTTATTGACGTCGCAAGAGCAATGGGATGCAACCGTCGTACTGTGTATGACTTGCGAAGTCGTCTACAACAAACTGGCACCACTTCTGATCGCCCAAGGTCGGGTCGTCCACGTGTGACGTCACGAGCAGAAGACCGTCAAATCGTCCTACGTCACCTACGTGACAGATTTCTGCCGGCTACACGAACCAGGGCTGAGATGTTTAGAGGTCGACTGTCCTCACAGACCATTCGAAATCGGTTGCGGGCTGCCAATCTCCATTCTCGATGTCCATATCGTGGGTCAATATTGACGCCGTTTCATCAACGTCAACGTCTGCTGTGGGCCCAACGTCACCTCCGATGGACCCAGAGAGACTGGAATCGAGTCGTCTTTAGCGATGAATCCAGGTTTACCCTCAGATTTGCGGACGGCAGGCATAGAGTCTGGAGACGACGTCATGAACGGTATGCCCAATGTTGTGTACAGGAAGTTGGGGGCGGAAGTTGCATGGTGTGGGGTGTTTTCTGTGGGAACAACCGTTCCCGACTTCTGGTCATCCGTGGAAACCTCACAGCTGCTGCTTACCGCTTACAGATGCTCACCCCTGAACTCGTTCCTTTCATGGCGGCTCATGGCCCAGGTCTACAGTTCCAGCATGATAATGCTCGGCCGCATACTGCGATGTTGACACGAAATTCCCTTCAAAACGCCGGAATTAACGTCATGGACTGGCCATCGAGGTCCCCTGACCTTAATCCAATAGAGCACGTTTGGGATGCACTTGGGAGAAGGCTACGTGGTCTTAGGAACCAACCTCAGAATTTGCAGGAACTTGGCGCAGAATCCCCAACCACGGGTTCACAAGCAGGAGCAATGGCGCAGAAACCCCAACCACGCGTTCACAAGCATCAGGCAGTCGATGAGGAGACGGTGTTTGGCAGTGGTGAATGCTCGGGGCGGCCATACACGATATTGAACTGAGAAATTTCGCATTTTTAGTCTTGTGACTTGACATTCTGTATACCCATGTTTTGGAACGGCGGTGTAGCCTAATGGAACTGATTATGGCACTGTCAGTGTATCGAGTACATCACACAGATCTCAGCAATGAAATAATAACAATTTAACCATCTTACCATCTCTTGTTCTTTTATAGTGCCCTGAAGAAAGAATGTGAAGTTTCTTTTTTGACTCAGTATATTTACTTGTTGGATGATCCTCTGCTGATGCATGTCAAGACTAATGATGAAAACAACGAATTTTTAAGCGTGCCAAGGGTGTTTGACGGAATCTGAAATTTGAGATTGATTTTGTTGATGGTGATGTTCTGCTGGACTGTACAGCGATGGGAGTAAACGAGGTGAAGTTCTACACCAAGTCTGCTAGGAGCCGATCATTTGTGGAGAAGCTTTCTGAGTAGTCACTGCATCGTGTGTACATGCAGTGTGGAACAAGAAAGCAATCCAACCACCTCCTTCGCCTGGATGAAGTCGACTGGTCTTAAATGTGAAACAGAGGGCTTCCTTTTGCTGCCAAGGACCAATCACTTCCCTCTCGCAATCGCCTAAATCTGATTCTCAAAGAGAAAATATTAACATAAAATGTCGACTTTGCAATGAATTTACAGAGACTGTCCAATGCCTTGTCAGTGGATGACCATCTTGTCATGATGGCATGGCTCGTTGCTTCTGATATTAGCTTCGACATGTTCAGGGCGGCATGGAAAATGACAGCTTTATACTTCTTTGGAATAGGCCCATATACAGCCAACAAAGCTGATCTTGTCCTTTTTAATAAAGCGAATGAATGAATTTATATCATTGAATTTTGGCTGCAGTGTTGGGGAGTCTACATATTCTCCGGAAAGTTCTTGGATGGTTCGACAAGGCAGCGCTTTCCTTGGAGAAGTCCCATTCGCTATCTGGCTGGGCGCGTAGAAGGGCTAAGGACCCGAGCTGATGAAGATCCTTACCAGCCCGACTGTGCCAGGATCACCCGAACCCTCTTTGCTGCATACTATTTTTAATCTGTAAAACATAATAATAATATGTGCACTTATACTGCGCCAAACTCAAGTCACAGAGTGCTTGCTCATGGTGCTACAAACAAAATAAAGTCACTGCAAAAAGTAAAGGCGGGTTTTGTCATGGGTTCTCACAAGTTATCGGAAGTCCTAAAGAGATACGTTTTGAGGTCGCTCTTAAAAATGTCAAGGGATTCTGCCTCCTTGATGTGAAGAGGTAATGGGTCCCATGAAGTGGCAGCCGAGTAGGCAAAGGATCTAAATCCAGACTTTTTCAGATTGTACTTTGGTACTTCAGGTAGATGATGGTCGGCAGATCGAAGTGATCTCAATGGTACATATTTGTGAATGGGATCATTCAGATATTGTGGAGCCGACTGATGATAGCATTTGTAGACAACTGTCAAAATGTTGTATTGAACTCTTGCTTGTAAAGGAAGCCAATACAGTGATATAAGGCCGGGTGTAATGTCTGAAGGCTTCTTAGTCCTCGCGACTATACGTGCAGCAGTATTTTGCACACGCTGAAGTCAAACAAAATGTTCCTGGGAGACATTCCGAGCAAACTGTTGCAATAATCCAATCTGGATAACTCAAGTGTCCGCGCAAACATATGAGCAACAGATGTGGTGAGAAGATTTCTTAGTGATCCACATAATAGCATTTATTTTCGCCTTATTCGGTTTACCCCTCCATGGAAATTCGAAACAACCGTGCTGGTATTGCTGACATATTTCATGTGGTGTTCTGGGTAAGGAAGAAACAATACGATGGTGCCGTGGCAAAGGATAAGTTCCATTGGTGTCAACATTCGAATGAATCATTCATTCATTTCTACTTTTACAAGCCACTACTTCTCTATAATTAATACTCCTGAGAGGGTACGTAAGTCCCGAAACAATTATAGTAAATTTCAAGTTACCAGATTTTATAAACGTTGGATGTTTTCGTGATTTTAATCTATGGCTAAATTCGACTACAATCGCTAGCGGCTGAAGGTTGATGTGAATCCAGCTAGGGTCCATGCAGGTAGCAAAAGTACTGTAAGTCCCCATGGTCCCCACCTTCATTGGCGATCAAAAGCCCATTTTTACATTGTATTGTCTAATAATAACTTTCTACTTTTAAAGATATATGATAGCTAGGTTTACCTCAGTTTTCGATAATCTAGTAATTTTACTGCCCTTCGTTGACAGGGTTTTCTATATTATATGTATGTATTATGAATTTAGAACTAGTTTTAGTCACGATATGGCTGAATATTGCCGATGTGACTTTAAATCTTAACTCACTCACTATAATAAGT